AAAAATCAATCTCTAATAATAATAATAATAATAATAATAATAATAAAACACTGGGCTTATGTGCATGCGTGCCCTAAATCCTGACAGGATAGAGAAGGGGATGTGACATACCACACCCCACTGGGGGGTTTCTTTCTCCATTTCTCTCTTTTAGTAGTACACACATCGTTTCACAAAGAAAATATGTACATATGTGGTTTAAAAGACCAAGGGAGGGTCCCAGCCAGTGGTTAAGGTGGCTGAATCTTACATGGCCAACCATGTGGGTCAAGCCCCAGGCCTGGTGGCTTGAGAAGAGTGGCGAGTATGTATGAGTGTGTGCCCAAAATCCCAAAAGGAAGGAGAACTGGAGGAGTCTTGTTCGCTTGCTTGCTAATAAGAGTGTATAAAAGGGAGGAATAATGTTGTTATCATTCCCCATGGGGGATGCTTTCACCCATGGGGTGCTTTCTCACTTCCCCTCTCTCTGTCTCTTTCTAGAAAGTACATATGCCCTCTGGCAAAAAAAAAAAAAAAAAAAGAAAATCCCATGATGTCTCAAGACATATTATTGGGAACCAGCAGTTAGTGTAATGGCTATGTCGCTGGACTCCCACGTAGTCGACCGCAGTTCGCATCCCGGACCCAGTGGCTTAAAACTCACGCCGGGCACGTGTGCGTGCGTGCCCAAGATCCCGAGAGGAGAATGGAGGAGAAGGGATTGCGGCGTGACCATCCCCCCTGGGGGGTGATTTCTCGCTTTCTGTCTCTATGTCTCTCTCTGTCTGTCTGGCGAGCGCATGCGCCCTATAGCGAAAAAACCTCTCCAAAAAAAAAAAAAAAAAAAGAAAGACATATTATTAAACTGCATTCTGTCTCATCACAAGGACTCCCATCTGCAGAGGCAGCTTCTTATTCTTATTTTTTACTTTTTTTTTTAAAAGAGTTTTTATTTTTGCCTTAGGGTGTGTGCATTCATTGGGGAGAGACAGATAATGAGAGGCACAGTGAGAAATCAGCCCCTGGGGGGATGGCCATACAGTGATCTCTTCCATTCTTCTCCCAGGACCTTGGGGGCGCGCGTGCGCGTGTACACAAGCACGCACCCCATGTGATTTTCAAGCTACTGGGTCTGGGACTTAAACTGCCTTCAGCCATGTGGGAATCCTGTAATGTAACCGCTATGCCATCTGCTGGCCTCTTGTTTTACATTTTTTAACAGTTTATTTTGAAGTAATTAAATATTCACAGGAAGTTGCAAAAAAAAAATATATCTGTACGAGGATGTCCCACATGACCCTCTCTAGACCTTAACTACAGTCCAGGACCTCAGCCAGGAAGGGCACATCAGCCCATCCACAGGGTATGTCCAGGTTTCTCTGCACATGCATGTGCATGTAGCTCTGTACTTTAGTCACATGTGTAACCATGATCCAGATCTAGAACAGTTTGGTGCCTATGCTGATCTCTCCTCCTGTCCCTGGATAGGTATATCCACCCTGTTCCTCTCAGTCCCTGTCCCCAATTCCTGTAACCTGTCCCTATCACTATAATTGTTATTTCAGGGATGTCATAAGTGGATTCACATACTATATAACCTTGGAGATTGACTTTTTTTCCCTTGTTGTAATACCTTCAAGTTTATCTTACACACACACACACACACACACACACACACATATTTTTAATGAGGTTTTTGCCCTAGGGCACATGCACTCGCTGGAGAGAGAAAGAGATAGAGACAGTGAAAAAGAATGTGAGAAATCATCCCTGAGGGGAGCTGGCTATGCTGCAGTCCCTTCTCCTCTATTTTCCTCCAGAGATTTTGGGCATGCACGAACACACACTTGCCTGGTGTGGTTTTTCAAGCCACTGGATCCTGGACTCTAACCATGGTCAGCCATGTGGGAGTCCAGTGACATTACCACACTACACCATCTGCTGGCCTCCTACTTGCATTAATAACCCATTTCTTTTTCTTGCTGAGTAGTGTGCCATGGTGTGGGTGTACTCTTGTTTTTTACTTTCTGGCTATTAAAAATGAAACTGGCTTGGGACCAGCAGTTAGCGCAATGGCTATGTTGCTGGACTCCCATGTAGTCGACCACGGTTCGCATCCCGGACCCAGTGGCTTAAACTCACACCAGGTACGTGCGTGCATGCCCAAGATCCCGAGAGGAGAATGGAGGAGAAGGGATTGCGGCGTGGCCATCCCCCGATTTCTTGCTTTCTGTCTCTCTGTCTCTCTGTCTTTCTGGAGAGCGCATGCGCCCTATAGCAAGAACCTCTCCAAAACAACAACAACAAAAAAGAAACTGGCTTCTGCAAACGTTCATGTCCACTATTTGAAAATGTAAGTTTTCATTTCCACGAGAAAGATGCCCAGGAGTAAGATAGCTGGGCTTGGGCCAGCAAGGTGGTTTAGTGGTTCAGATAGCTGAATCTTACATGATTGACCACATGGTTTGAGTACTGGACCCAGCGGCTAGAAAAACACACTGGGCCCATGTGCATGCATACCCAGAATCCTGAGAGGAGAGGAGAGGAGAGGAGAGGAGAAGGGGTTGTGGTATGGTCATCCCTTCGGGGGCGTAATTTTTCCTTTCCCTCTTTCTCTCTCTCTCTCTCTCTGGGAAGCACATGTGCCCTATAGCAAAACAACAACAACAAAACAAACAAACAAACAAACAAAAACAAACAAACAAAAACACCTTAAAGACAGGTGGACTATGTGATAGTTGTATGTTTAGTGAGAAACTGCACACTGTCTTCCAGTGTGACTGTACCATTTTATATTCTCATCAGGAGTACGTGAGTGATTCGGATTCTCTGCATCCTCACTAGCACTTAGGGTTGTCACCAGTCATTCTGATGGTGTTATGTGGTAGCTCATTGTGGATCTAATCTGTTCTTTCCTAGTGACAAGATGATGTTGACCTTCCTTTCACTTGTTTATCTGAGCTTTCTTAACTGTTTCTTCTGCCATTTTAGCCCCAGGTTTGACAAACAATGTGCTCATTCATATCTCTTACTTTCAGCCCTTGTCTGACCTTCCCTGCAGCTATGTTTTGGTCCTTAGTGAAGCCTGTGGCCTCTGTTTCTGTGTGAGGAATGTGCAAACCTTTCTTGCCCTGCTTTGTGCACAGGGGCCCAGCCACAGGGTTTGGCACTGGAGGGTGAGAGTGCAGTTTAAGGTGGATACCTCCCACTGAATGAGCATCTGCAGGTGATGCTCATTGGCCCTTGGCTTTCTTGGGGAAGTACTTAAACTTCATCTCTCTTGCTTGTGGAAGGGGCTGCAGGGGGACCTGCAGACCTCCTGGGGAGTCTTATCTACCTCTCTGCCTTAGCTCCCACTGGTCTGTGGACCCATGTCCATCTCTCCATCCACACCTACAACCTAGACCCCAACCACATAATCAGCTACATCTTAGATGTCTGCCCTTAACTCCCAACCCCCAACCTCAGACTCCTGTAGCACTGTACTAGCCCTTCCTTTGTGTCCATCTATAAGTGACCCTGATGTCCATCTGATCACTACAACTGAAACTGGGATCATTTGAATGGTGCTAGTTCAAGTTCCCTGATGTAGGTTGCCGGGAGCGCAGGTTAGATGGTTTTGGGGTCCTGACTGCATTCTGGGACTTGCATTGGGGAGGCGGTGGTAGGCATATGAAGAGGCCTCATTGAGCATCCCATGCCTTGCTGACCCATCTGCTGGCTTTTTGACTTTTCCGTCTCACCTGCCACTGCCTACCTTAGGACCCTCGGGTTTTTTGATGTCTTCCTGGGGCTGGCAGAGGCAGGTCCTGACTGTCTACATCCTTCATCTCACCTTGGGAGCTGGACCTGTCTTGTAGGCTCTCCCCAGATCCTGACCTCTGTCCCACCAGCCCTGCCTATTTCCTCTTTTGCTTCCAGCAGACTGCTTGTCATTTCCATTGACTGCTCAGTGTGATACCCTTTGACAATGCTACGGCAGCTCTACTGAGGTCCGTGGGCAGGTAGGATTTGTGTCCATGTGGACTGTACCTCCAGAGGCACAGCACTGTGTGGCTGTGGGTGTGGTTCTCTGTCCTACAGTTCCTACTGGGCATTGATCTCGATGTTGAAGGCACCGAAGGTGCAGGCCTGAGTGGATGTGGACATGACTCTCTTTGCATTGATGCCTGTCTTGCCCCTGACAGCACAGGCTCCAGAGATGCAGCCCACCTGGCTCTGTGTGCGGCTCTCTGAGCTTTAGCCTCTTGGACACTTGTCTGCCTATGGTGCCACATGCTTGGGAGGCACAGCCCTGTGCACCTGAGACAGCTCTCTGCACCTTGGTCTCCACAAAGCATTTGGTGAACCGATTGATGGTGGGCGAGGGCTCCTGCTGCCCCTATGCACTTCTGTCTCTCTTCCTACAGGCTCCATGAGAGTTTGGAAGAAACACAGGGCTTCCTCCTGGAATGTGACAGCTCTGTGCTGGGTGCGCTACAAAAGCACCTCATGCTGTACAAGATCCGGCGGAAGGTCACAGTGGAGCCGCACCCGGGGCTGCGTGTATGGGCAGTGCTGCCTAGCACCTCCGAGGCTGGTGGGGTTGCACTGCTTCAGGAGAGGGTGGAAGCCACTTCCATCCTTACCCGTGACCCCCGTACTGCATGTATGGGGTGGCGGCTCCTCACCCAGGAAGAAGGCCCTGCCCTGGTACCCAGATGTTGGCTTGGAAATCTTCAGGATTATCACCGACATCGGTACCTGCAAGGTATGGGTAGGGTGGGCATGCTGGGCTGTATGGAAGGGGAGGGGTGGATGGAAGGTGGGCAGATGCTGGGAGGGGCAGGGCATAGGGGGTTGGGACAAGGTTGGCATGCAGAGCTGGATAGGAGGTGAGGGGTTTGGTGCTGGACTGGACACACTCATCTTTCATTGGTTTCTTTGCTTGGATCCTCATAGGCATTCCCGAGGGGGTCCAGGACCTGCCACCAGGAGTGGCCTTGCCCCTGGAGTCCAACCTGGCCTTCATGAATGGCGTGAGCTTCACCAAGGGCTGCTACATTGGCCAGGAACTGACCGCTCGCACTCACCATATGGGTGTCATTCGCAAGCGCCTTTTTCCCATTAAGCTCTCAGGCCCTCTCCCTGCAGGAGGCATTGCCCCAGGCACATCAGTGTTTACTGAGTCGGGACAGGCAGCAGGCAAGTTCAGGGCCGGCTTGGGGGATGTGGGGCTAGCTCTGCTACAGTCAGAGAAAATAAAGAGTCCTCTCCACATCAGAACCTCTGAGAATACTCAGGTGGCCTTAACTGCATCAGTGCCAGACTGGTGGCCCATGGTCACCAAGTAGCCTTTGATGCCACCAAATAGCCCTTGGCTCCTGCAGGTCAGTGAAGCTGTTGGGATGCCTGGGGTCTCCGGTCAGAGCTGCTGTGCCCTACTGGATGTGAGCCCCATTTCCCATGGTGGCCCCGCAAACACACTCCATCTGGGAAAGTCCTTGTGTGTGTGCACTTTGCCAGGAGCTGCAGATGTAGTGGAGTGCTTGCCATGAGCTTTCTTCTGCCTGGGAGTTACAGAACTGGGCCCTGGAGCTACAGAAACTGTCTTGGGGACCAGAGGAGAAGAGAAGCAGCCCTGGTCCACCTGTATGCTGCTCTGAGCCCTAGCATGGACCAAATTCAGCATCTGTGGGCTGAGAACAGGATGGCATCCATGCCTGGAGCTGACAGCTTCAGGGCCTTATCCCCCACTCGCCTGCTGTTGATGGGCCTTAAGGCCAGGGTGGCATCTGGAGTTGGCAGGCTAAGGGAGGTGGTTTGGGAATTGTTCTACTGTGCTTGCCTTGGGACATACCTCAGGGCACAAGTTGTGTATGGTGATCTGATGTTTGCTTGTGGAGGCACCACACTACACTGCTGTGCACACCTGAGCTAACCTGTTCTCTCTGAGTGCACGTCTGTGTGTTCAGGGTAGCACCTGCTTTCAATAGTGCTGGGCACTGGATGAGGTCCCAAGTCAGTTTACACTGAGGAATTCCAAATGGTGGTGCTTCACCATGCCCAGGCTTGCTGAGCGAAGGGTAGAGGGTGGACCCCAGGGCTCAGATTTTCTTGGGAGGGGCCTTCTGCTTCTTTGCTGTTTTACAGGTGTAGCCACATGTTTTCAGTATGAGATGGAGTTGCTTTCCAGTGGTGAGGACACCCCTCTCCCCCTTTCAACCACTACCTTTTGAATGAATTTCCATTATAATGTGAATCAGCAGTTAAGGGGTGCCTCTCCAGGAGGCCCAGAGTGACTATTAAAGTGTGATGTACAAGCAGCCCTTTCAGAACTGTGGTCTCATTTTGGGTGGAAGGAGACTTGCACTTGGTTTGGGGTCTGGTAAACTAGATCGATGTAACAACTCTCCCTTGAAAAGACTGAACATACCAGATAAAACATTTCCGCCGTGTTCCCCATGCATTGCTGGGCTGGCAGGAAGGAAAGAGATCTCAGAGGCTTAGGCAAAGAGAGTGGGCACTGAGTTTGCAGTGGTGGACAGCCCTCATGACTCTAAGATTTCATCTGCCGAGCCCACAGGTCAGGAGTCTTGGGGGACCCACAGAGGGTTGGACCAGGAGGGTGCTATCCTACAGCCAAGAGGAGCCAGAGGGCCCTCTCTAGTAACCTGCAGCCTTGATGGTCACCTGAGTCCCACTCTGAGCTGAGTGAACTCTGCAGCCTGCAATCGCCCCAGTAAGAGGCTGGCTGGAACATAGCAGAGGAAGGGGCCGCAGCTACCTGGACTCCTCCCTTAGCAAGTAAAGAGCCAGGCAGTCTCATCCACCCCTCAAGTTCCATGGAACTGAGAGCCAATCAGGCAGCATCCCCCTGAGGCACATCTTCTAGGGCATAGGCAGGCTGTCCTTTGGAGAGGAGTGGCATGGACTCTTCCTAGTACACATAAATAAAGGCTTGGGCTCCTGTGCCAGTGGTGTTGCTGGCTACCAAGGAAAGGCCCTTGCCACTGGGAACAGGTGAGTACCCACTCTGCCTACCCCTTCGTGCTTGGGGCCAAGACCGCAACAGCTACCATGTTTCTCAGTTTTGCCTCTGGGGATCTTTTAACAGGAGAGCTTCATGTTCTTGATGAACACCTCAGCCTGTGCAAAGGACAACTGCCATTTTCAGCACCCTCTGGCTGCTGCTTCAAACTGACATTAAGACATTTGATCAGGAGTCAAGGCCAATTTCCTCTCCAGTTGCAGCTAGGCATTGGTCACCATGGCCTGTGTGACCAAGAGAGTTGGGAGCCAGTGCTGAGAACCAGCTATTTTCCTGCTTGAGCAGGGTGTGTCCCCGGAAGGAGAATCTGTGTCTCCAGTTAAAGAATGCTCACTGTTCCCCACCTTCCTGTGGTCACCTGGCCCTGGCCCTGAGATTAAAAAGCAGAAGAACATTGCACCCTAGGGTACTCAGGACCAGATAGTATATCAATATATATGTATATATATTTTTGCTATAGGGCGCTTGTGCTCGCCAGAAAGAGAGAGAGAAAGTGAGAAATCACCCCCCAGGGGAGTTGGCCACACTGCAAATACTTCTCCATTCTTCTCTCAGGATCTTGGGCACGCACGTATATGTACCTGGTGTGAGTTTAAGCCACTGGATCTGGGACTTGAACCATGGTCAACTACATGGGAGTCCGTGACATAGCCATTATGCCAACTTCTAGTCCTCAGATAGTATTTTTTTAAGGATTTATTTTATTTTATTGATAGTAATTATCATTATTTAATTTGTTGTGGGGTACATGTGCTCATGGAGAGAAAGGAGGGGAAAGTGAGAAAACAAGCCACTAGATCCTGTATTCAAACCGCAGTTGGCCATGTGAGAATCCAACTTCTTAACCATCATGCCCTCTGCTGGCCCAGAAACAGCATGGTTTTAGGATGATTAGCTTCCATATCAAAGGCATACACTGGGTTAGACTTTTTATTTTATTTATTTATTTATTTATTTTTTAAAGATTTTTTGCTATAGGGCATACACACTTTCCAGAGAGGGGCAAAGTGAGAAATCACCTCCCAGGGAGGATGGCCATGCTGCAATTCCTTTACCATTCTCCTCTCAGGATTTTAGGCAGGCGTGCACATGTGCCCATTGTGTTTCAAGTCATCAGGTCTGGTACTCAAACTATAGTCGGCCACTTGGAATCTAGCACCTTACCCACCACGTACCTGCTAGCCCGTAGATCCTTTTTAAAAATCTCTTAATTAGCCTAGGGAGAGGCAGTTTTTCTTGGGCAGAACAGTGTTTTCTTATTTTGTTCGGTTTTTAAATGTATTTATTTTCTGAGAAAGTGGTACCCTTGACAGGGTCTCCTCACCACACTGTGGTCCACCCTCTTGGTCTTCCAGTTAGCCAGTATAGGGCATGACTGGAGTGTTCAAATTGATTCGGGATCCAAAGCCAGGCCTCCCCATACAGCTCCCTATTCCTGTCACTCGGACCGCTGTGGCTGGGCCCAGAAAGGTAATTCTTAAAAGAAAAAAAAAAAAAGAAAAGAAACATGCTAGGCTCACGTTCACATGTGCCCCAAATCTTAACAGGATAGAGAAACAGAGAAGGGACTGTCAAGTTACCACACCCCACTGGTGGGGATGCTTTCTTCCTTTCCTTCTGTCTCTTTGTCTCTCTCTGGTGAGAGCATGTGCCTACTGGCAAATAAATGACCTTTCTTATTTTTTATTTGACTAGAGCAAGACAGAGAAAGGAAAAGTGTGAAAACAAGCAGCCATGTCTGGACTCAAACTGTGGTCAGTCACATGGGAGTGCAGCACCTTCACCACCATGCCACCTGCCAGCCTCCCAGCCTGTATTTCAAGCTGTTGGGGCTGGGATTTGAATTGCATGAGCAGTCATGTGAGATCAAGCTCTCATAAGCAGATCCCCATTCCCAGGCCATGGGGCTGACCCCAGAAAGGTATTTTTAAGATATGAAACCATGGGACCAGCAGATAGTGTAATAGTTATATTGGTGGACTCCTACATGGCTGACTGCAGTTCGAGTCCTGGAAGGAGGCTTGAAACTCATGCCAGGTACGTGTGTGAGAGTGCCCAAGGTCCCTAGGGGAGAAGGGATTGAATGGCCACCCCCACTAGGAGGAGTGATTTCTCTCTGTCTGCCTTTCCAGCCAGTGCAGGCACCCTACAGCAAAAATCTCTCCCTCAAAAGAAAAAGGATATGAAACAATATACAGAAAAAAAAATCGCCGGTCAGGGTAGGCGTGGCCGTTGGGGGGGAGGGCAGTGGCGGGTTGTGGTCCGGTGCCAGGCTGGACGGCCGTGGCGGCGGGCAGGCGGTACTCCCGGCACAGGCAGGCGAAGTGTCCGGCGGCGGGGTGGGCACCTCCCCAGGGCCAACCCCGGCGCCCATTTTTGCCTGCCTGCCCGCCCACGGAGGAAAGTCCTCCACTGCCTACATGCTTCGGAGGCAGCCGTTTGAGGTGACATCACCGCAATCCCGGCCTCCTGAGCCAGGAGGACACTCTTTAGGAAGTCGGTTCTAAAACAGTTCAGGTTTTCCTTCACTTGATTTTATTTTCAAGTCCCAGTCCCTGAATTGTGTACAACTCCTGGGCTGCTTCTGGTTGCTGCCTGCGCCTCCTAGCTTCGGCTTGAGTGACCTCAGCCCCGGATACCCCTTGACTGACCCGGGTTCACGTCGTGATTGGCTTTAGTGGCCCAGGGTGGGAACCTGGATGTTTTAGCCAAGCTGTGGTTGAAGTGGATTAACTGGTCCAAGAAACATTACATTCATATTTCTGGATATGTCGCAGAAGGATCCCTGCCAGAAACAAGCCTGTGAAATACAGAAATGTTTGCAAGCCAACAACTACAAAGAATCGAAGTGTCAAGCTGTCATCCAAGAGCTGCGAAAGTGTTGTGCTAAGTATCCCAAAGGAAGATCTGTCGTCTGTTCAGGATTTGAAAAAGAAGAAGAAAACATGACATTGAAGTTGGCACCAAAGTAAGATTCTCCTGAGACATTAAATGCTACTCCACCAAGAGGGTTTTCCTTACCCACCCGGCTTTCTTCAGGTCAGGTAGCAAACGAGTCACACAACTATAGATGTTAATGAATATACCATCTATGTTGAACAGACACAAATAGAAACATACTAAAAGACGAATATGTAGAATGTGATTAAATTGAGCTGCTTAAATAAACCTGTTTAAAAGAAAAAATATATATTCAGAAAAAAATGTAAATGCACACACAAGTATACACTACAATATGAGGTAGTGATGGTAAGAGCTAACCAAAAATCAGTAGAATCAGGAACCAGATGGTGCAGCAGTAAAATGCAAGAACTCCCTGAGTGTGCCAGGCATGCATGTGCCCATGATCCTGGGCTGACTGAGACAGGATGGATTCTATTGGTAGGACTGTCTCTATTGAGGAGTGCTGTCTCTCTGTCTCTGTCCATCTTGCTCATGGAAGAACAGTAGAATTCAATTAATAATTTTAGATATTAGAGTAACCAAATATAAAATATATTTAAAGAAGTAACTTTAAATATGAGTAAGGGAACCAGCAGGTGGCATGATGGTTAAGGCATTAGATTCCCACATGACCAACTACAGTTCGAGTCCTGCACTTGGTGGCTTTCTTTTTCTTTTATTTTTTTCTTTCTCTCTCTTTCTGATGAGCACACATGGCTTATCAAAAAAAAAAATTAATAGACTTAACTGTTTAAATATGAATAAGATGCAAGAAACTAAAAATGATCAAGTGAAGGGCCAACTGGTGGCATAGTGGTGGTTAAGGCGCTAGATCCCACATGTCTTACTATACAGTTGGAGTCCTGGACCTGGTGACTTGAAAAATACTCTGGGTGCATGTGCATATGTGCCCAAAATCCTGAAAAGAGAATGGAGGAGAAAGGATCTTTAAAGTACCTGTAAGTGTTGCTTTAATGTTGTTGTTTTTTTCCTTTAGCATAAGTCTGATCATTCATGTTTGTGCATGTTTCATTAGTTTATTGCTTTTCGTTTCTGATTAGTAAGTTTCTGGTATATATGTAACACTGTTTAACCATTTGCCTATTTTTTATGGCCTGAATTATGGCCCCCTCCTTTCAAAATGCTTATGTTGAAGCACTAATCTCCTGGATCTCAGAATATATATATGCATGGAGAGAGAGAAATAAAAAGCTTTAAAAAGGTGATTAAGTTAAAATGAGGTCATTGGGGTGGGTCCTGATCCATTGTGACTGATAACCTTATGAGAGAAGAGATTAGGACACAAACACAGGGAAAACCATGTGAAGACAC